CCTTTGAGTATGTCATAAGATTGACTTATCTAGTCCTATCCAGTCCTTTAGTGCACAGTGAGGTGGGTGAGAGTTACAAAGACAGTGACAGAATCAGATGTGGCCTGGAGTGCTCCTTGTCGGGGTGTGGAGAGTGGGGAATGTGGGAGCCTTGAAGAAGGGCTGTTCAGGCCCTGGTCAGCAGAGGAAAAGAATGTAAGTGTGCCAGGCACTTCAGTAATCAAGAAGCAGCCTCAGTTTTTTCAGCCTCACTCTTTTGGGCTCAGCCTCACTCTTGAGCACCATGAGGGAATTCTGGGTGGCCTGTCACCTTCTCTCAGCTCCGCCTTTCCTACTCTTGTCCCCAGCAGGCCAGAAGAGACTTGTTAGCATGCATTTCTATGGTTTCTCGTCCCAGAGGGCCCTGGCTGGGCACTTCTTAAAACGTGACATTCCCACAGAGGCTTCAGGATTACTCAGCACTCACGACCACTTATGTCTTTCCCCCAAATTTAACTGCACTGGGCTGTGATGTCCCCATCTGGGCTGGAGCAGAGGGATGTTTGAGGTCTCACTGGGTTCCAGCACCAGGGAAATGAGTCTCCAGGCTTTCTGGCTGTGGATGGCAGGTGTCTGTGGGTACAGAGGAGCAAATTGATCCTAGGAGTCAGGCTTGTGGGTGGTCTGGTGCCTGGTCCCCTGCTCCTTCCAGGCTATGGGGTCAGGCTGTGGAGGGCACAATGAACAGGACTTAGAAGGCAGGGACGTGAATGCGGGACCCAACCAATGTGAGCCGCTGACTCTGTGGTTGGTGTCCAATTGACATTTTGAGAGGAAGGTTATGGGATATCTGTTTATTTCAAAGACTGAGCTTGAGGGACCTGATGACCTTGTCCTTGCTACTGGATAGCACACATATCCAAGAGGGGGACAGATCCAGAAAAATACCCAGTCCAAGGAAGAAAGGAAGGAAGGAAGGCCAGACCGGATGTCTTCAGTGTGCTTTCTCTGCTGTATTTGCCTCTGCCCACCACCTGGCCTGGAAACAGGGCCAAGGCAGCAAGCTGGGCCCATGTGATAAATGGTCATGGCACTGAGAAAGCCTGGGGAAAGGAGAGGACAGTGTTCGGCCAGGAAGGACAAGGCAAATGTGAGTGAACACACAAGTGCGCACATGTCCCCTCTCTCTCCTTTTTCTCATTTATTATACACACTTGTGCAATGCACCCACACAAATCCACAGAGGCCCAACAAGTGACACCCAAACAGGGAGGCAGAAGTACCAAGACAGAGACAGAGAGCAACAAAGGAGTGAGAACACACAGATGACAGGCAGACACGGTCAGAGAAAAACCACAACAGACATAGCCACTGAGAGGGCACAAGGCCAATGGTAACCCAGCCCAGTCCTGTACAGGTCACACTGGGACAGTTATGGCCACAGCTGTTTAGCCATCTAGCCGTGAGATGGATGGTTTCTCCCGTTGGACTTGATTTGCCAGTCACTCTGTCCCCTCCCCTTGTTTCCTGACTTGGAGTCTCACTCAGAGACTTGACTTTGAACTCCTGGGTCCAGGAGATCTCCTGGCCTCAGTCTCCTGAGTAGCTGGAACTATAAGCATGTACCACCACACCCGGCTTGCCAACCATTTTGGTTCCCATTCATCCTTCCTGACAATGACTCTATCTTGGGTTAGTGCTATGACCTTGAGGCTTGGGAGTCCTAGATCCCTAGCTAGCCTGAAGGTCAGTGTCTGAGGCTGATTGCCCTGAATCCCGGATGCCAGCTCTTTCTAAGGCTCCTCAAGCTTCTCTTCCCCAAGTGAGCTTACGGAAGCTGATGAGGGATCTGGGCCCTGCTGACAGCACTTGGGTGAGGTGCCACACTCTCCTGGCCTACCTTTCTCTTCCAGTCATGGCTACAGGTGCACTCTGGAGGCACCTTGGCAGACATCTCCCCGGGCACCCGCCACTCAGACTCCCTTGTGCAAAACCCGGAAGAACTAGGGAGTGGTCACCTGAATGGTAGCCATAAGCACCAGGGCAGAATTCTCCTGTCACCCTCCAGTGGACTTTCTGAAGGGCCACCACAGGAGGGGCCCCTCACCCTCAGCAGGGACCAGCTCCATCACAAACTCCTGTATTTCCCAGCTTTCCCCTTCTCTGTTTTACACTTCTTTCCCCTAGAATCATTTCCCCAAGTAAACCAGCTGGCAGCCCTGGCCTCTGGCTCTGCTTTCAGGTCCCACCTGGGGGCCCTCCTGGTGCTTGGCACCAGGGGAACTAAAGATCTCTCCTCCCACTTCCCCCTCCCTCAGGACACCCGAGTTCTTCTCTGATCTATTGTTTGCTGGATTCAGGAGCCTTTGTGTCTCTTGGGGGGCCAAACCACTCTTGTTTATCCAATAACAATTAATTCTTAGCAATCATCTCTAGTTGAACCAAACATAAAGGTGCCTTCAGCAAAGACTATCCCATAGGGTAGATGGGATAGGGTGGGGGTCAGGCCACTCTCCCAGCTCTGTTCAAGCCTGTGATCCTGCTTTTACTTGAGGACATGAAAATCACCCATACAGCCATGGAGGGACTCTGTGCATGTGTATTTTAAAGACAGATTTACTGAATCTGTAACTTTTTTTTTAAACTTTTTGTGGCACTGGGGTTTGAACTCAGGGCCTCATGCTTGCTAGGCAGGCGCTCTACCACTAGAGCCACTCCACCAGCCCTTTTTATTTTAGTTATTTTTCAATGCCCAGCTTGTTGGTTGAGATGGAGAGTCTCCCTAACTTTTTGCCTGGGCTGGCCTCGAACCTTGACCCTCCTGATCTTGGGTGAGCCTCCCAATCTCAGCCTTAGTAGCTGAGCCACCATGTTTGACTTTTTTTTTTTCTTTTTTGAGATAAGGTCTTGCTATGTAGCTCAAACTCACCATCCTCCTGCTTTTGCCTCCCAAGTGCTGGGATTATAGATGTGTGCTACAATGCCCAGCTATTGTAACTTCTGATTGCAAAAGCAAAGCATGCCTGTTGTCCAGGTGACAACCAGGCACAATCTACAACTTGGACACTAAAAGCACCTTTTTCGGTTGGAGGTGCTGGGTATTGAACCCGGAGCCCGGCATATACCACATACTAGGCAATAGCTCTACCACTGAGCTATATCCCAGCCCTGAGAGCAGAAATCTTTACTTGTCCTTGGACTAGGACATTTTCAGCATTAGGCAATGAAGCTGATGGTTTGCTCAGGGCAGCCAGTGCCTTTACAAAGTACCCTTCTCAGGAAGACCATCCATTCATTCAGTGACAATGTACTAAGTATCCACTGGGTGTCAGGGACCAGTGAGGCCACTGAACCTGACAGGTGAGTTCCCTGATCTTCTCCATGTGAAGGACTTCCATGACTGGTCTGGAATATCCACGCAGATGCTGCTGGCTCCTAGGGTGGCCCAGCAAAGGCTTCCTGCACCCACAGGGAAGGGCTGTGCGATGGTGCAGAACACAGAATGGGGATGGGACCTGGAAGGTACCACTTTCAGGCCAGTCAGATCCTCCTTTCCCATCCCAAAATGCCCGTTTCAGTACCTCTCAGCCAGAAGTCACCTCCAACTGTAACCTGTGTCTACAAGGGTCCGCCTTGTTGGTGGATGTGGCAGTGTCCCCAGGGTGGGGCTGGATGGCTCCTCTGGTCTTCCTGATGCCCATCTGGGCTCTTAGCACATGTCTGCTGAGAGGAGGACAGGGAGCCAGGCAGGGAGCCAAGGTCAGGGGCAGGAAATGGGGTTTTTAAGGAAGAGGAAGGTCTCTGCGTGGAAACCTCTTCCCTTCTGCGTGGGGAGGAGGTGGTAGTGGCAGCAGAGAGCCCAGCAGTGAACCTCAGGGTCCAGGAGCTGGGCATGGCCTTGGCAAGTGGTACCCACTGGGAACTGCAAGGGTTGGCATGTGTGCCAGGAAAGGGAGGGGGACCTTTTGGACCCCCAACAAAACAATGGGGAAAATGCTGCTTTATTCGAATTACCTTTCTCCTATATCTGAAGTTATCTCTCCCCTCCCCCTTTGGAGGAGTCTGGGCTGGGATTGGTGGCTTTTCACACAGAATGAGGGATTGATATGAACAGCAGTGACGGGATCAATTCTCTGTTGGATCCATTCCATGAGGGATGCGAGTGAATGCCCGCGCTTTTGAACAGGACACCCAGACTCTCACTGGCACAAGGGGGGATTCCGGCCAGGGCCTGCATGGCTGTTTTTCTCCCCTCTGCCCTATGTCTTCAGTTGTCCAGAGGAAGCTGATCCCTTAATGCTGCTGGCTGTCCTCAGCACTCACCTCCCCTCAACGCTCGATTTTGCTCCAAGACAACCTCTCTCTCCTTTAATGAGGTGCTCTGTCAAATCCGAGAAAAACAATTCATACCACAGTGTAAGAGACTGATAGGCTGAAACATCCAAAAGGAGCATTTGCGTTTTTAAGGGAGAGTTTGTGAATTCCAACACCTCTAAAACCAGGGCAATCTTTGTGAAGCAGGGTCTCTTCCAGCTCCACGTGCCAGGTGCCTACCGGGCCACTCCCACCTGCTTCCTTCAACACGGGCTCAGCTGCGGATCCCTTCCGCGGAAGGCTGAGGCCCGGCGCTAGGCATTTGGGCTTCCAGGGTGGGCGGGGACACTTAAGGCCGGGCGTGCCGGGTTGAGGAGCGGTCCTTAAACCTCAGCCAGAGCCTCTCGGGGCCCCGGATGGAAGCTGCAGCCGAGGAGGGGCGTCAGGGGTGCCCCAGAGCGCGCCTCACCTACGGGAGGGCAGGGCCTGGGCTTTGATCCTCCGAGACAGGGACTGCCTGGGGGAGGCGTGGATTCGCCCCATCCTTCCTGCCCGCCGCCGACCGGGTGCTTGCACGCAGCCCGCCGCCGGGTGCCGGGGCGTGGGGACCCCGGGGACCCCGAGGGGCCTCTCACCCACGCCGCCCCCCCACCCTCCCCCTCAAGCTCCGGAGCCGCGCTCGCCGAGGGGCGGTGACTAGGGGAGGGAGGGGCCGCCTCCCGCCTCCCGGGGCCTGGAGCGCGCGTGGCCCGGAGCCGGCGGCGCGGCGCGGGGACTCAGTGTGCAGCGCCCGCGCCCGGACTCGGCTGGCTGGCTCGGCGCGCGGGCGGAGGATGCTGGCGGGCTTCCCCGGCCTCGGCCCGCGCTCCCGCCGGGGACGGCCCCAAGCGCGCCCCTAGCCGCTGCCACCGCCGCCGCCGCCGCCGCCCCGGCCCGGGCCCCCCGATCCGCAGCCCCGGGGGCGGGCGCGCTCGGCCGGCGCCCCCGGATTTTCCAACCCGTGCAGCCGCCTTCCTCCCGCGACCGGGCGCCCCTGGATGCTGAGCGGCCGCCCTGCGCCTTTCCCGGCCGGATCCCGGGCCTGATCGCCGTGGGGAGAGTCGCGCTCCGGTAGTGGGTAACCCCCGGGTGGGCTGAGCCCTCCCGCCCCGGCCCACCGCACGCGTGATCCGGACCCCCAGCCTGCGCGTGGACCGACCCGTAGCACGCGGCTCCAGAGTTGCCGCACAGGTAAGCGCTGGGCCAGGGCTGGGCTTCCGGGGGTGCGGACAGCGCCCCAAGGTTGGGAAGGGAGCTGATCGGAGCCGGAGTCTCCAAGGGCTGGGTGGAAAAAAAGGAAGTAAACAGAGGAAGATGCAGGAATCCCCAGGATGGCCCTGGCTTCTCCCTGGCACGTTTTATTTCCAGCTTGTAAGGGTTGGGCCTGGAGGGAATTTAGGTGAGGAAGTCAGGGATGGAGACGTGATTCAGACAGACCCGGGTGCCAGCGATGGAGAGGTGGCTAGGCCCCTCCAGAAGCCGGAGACAGGAAACCAGTGTCTGGCGTGGACGGGACTGAGTGTGTGCGTGCGGGGGTGGCGGGGAAGGCTCTGGTGTTGGAGGCTCCTGCTGCCTATGTGATGGGTGGTTCGCGGAGGTTCAGGCCACCGACTAGGAAGGAGAGGTGCTCCTACTTAGTGCTGTCCTTTTAATTTCCAGATGATCAGTGCCACCTGTGTCCTGGAAACCCACTCTGCGTTCCTGCCCCAGGTGGCCACCCTTCAGCCGCAGCCAACAAGAGGCTGTCAGCCCTCCGCAGGTCTCAGAGAGCCCTGTTAGGTGACCCGTTTGGGACTTCTTCCTCTGTTCCAGTCCCCTTCTCCAGGGCCAGTAGAAGCAGACACCAGCCAGGATGCCGAGGAACCAGGGCTTCTCTGACCCAGAGTACTCGGCCGAGTACTCAGCCGAGTACTCGGTCAGCCTGCCCTCTGACCCTGACCGCGGGGTGGGCCGGACCCATGAGATCTCGGTCCGGAACTCTGGATCCTGCCTGTGCTTGCCTCGCTTCATGCGACTGACCTTTGTGCCAGAGTCCTTGGAGAACCTCTACCAGACCTACTTCAAAAGGCAGCGCCATGAGACCCTGCTGGTGCTGGTGGTCTTCGCAGCCCTCTTCGACTGCTATGTGGTGGTCATGTGCGCTGTGGTCTTCTCCAGTGACAAGCTGGCGCCACTCGTCGTGGCTGGGATTGGGCTGGTGTTGGACATCATCCTCTTCGTGCTGTGCAAGAAGGGACTGCTCCCGGACCGGGTCAGCCGGAAGGTGGTACCTTACCTGCTGTGGTTGCTAATCACAGCACAGATCTTTTCCTACCTGGGCCTGAACTTTGCCAGTGCGCATGCGGCTAGTGACACGGTCGGCTGGCAGGCCTTCTTTGTCTTCTCCTTCTTCATCACGCAGCCCCTCAGCCTCAGCCCTATCGTGATCATCTCAGTGGTCTCCTGTGTGGTGCACACGCTGGTCTTGGGGGTCACTGTGGCTCAGCAGCAGCAGAATGAGCTGCAGGGACTGCGGCTGCTGAGAGAGGTGAGTCCTTCCACACCGCGTCTTCCCTTCCGGTCAGCTCTCATCCAGGTGGGACCTGTTGGGTGGTGGTGAGGATGGGGTTCTCTTTGCCCTTGAGTCAGAATGTTTCCTGGGGGGCCTCTCCGGCTGCTGCCCTTCTCTCTTAACCCCTGGCTCTGCCCCTAGGGAAAGGAGGGTGTCAGAATATTGGGCCTCAATCTGTGACCTGTGCCCAGCCCGAGTGGATGACAGGAAGGCCCTGTAGGTCTGATCTGGAGGCAGTGTTGTTTTGGCCATTTCCTGTCAGTGCCCCTGACTCTTGTGGGGAAATTCTGATCTCTAGTTGTCACTACCTAGCTCCAGCGTGTGACCTGATGTGTGGGCTCAGTGCTCCTCTGTCAAATGGGGATACTGTCTAGCTGATGTTAGGATGAAAAGAAATATGGGTGACAGCTCACTAGGAAATGCGGAGGGCTGGGGAGAGGGAATATGTGATTATCATAGATCCTGCTCCTGCCCAGGAAGCTTGGGGTGTCACAAGCCCTTGGATGATGTAGGGAAGGGTTGTCTCTCCATAGAAGGGATGGTTCGGACACAAATGGAGATAGTCTACAGGCTTCTGTAGCATGGAATCTTCTAGTCTTGGTGGATGATTTCTGTTGGAAGGAGTGGAAATTTTGACCTCAGCTTAACTAATAGATTGTGCTCCCACTAAGTGCTAAGACCCCTGCCAAGGTTTGAGGGACTGATTCTGGCTGCCTGACCCACTGGGGGATTCCAGTCTTATCTTCTACATCCTTATTTTATATGTGAGCTCAGAGCTGGAAAGAGACCTGCCCAAGGCCACAAAGTGAGTTATAGCAGTCGTATGGCTGGAGTGCCTGTTTCTTGGTTCTGCTTTCAGCCTCCATCTCACCAAAGCCATTACTATTGTCTCCCTGAGCCCGCAGGGACCCTGCGGAGTCTTTGCTGGTTGATGCAAGAATCCTGGAGCTGCCCCATTGCCTCCCACTTGGTCAGAGGGAAACATGACTTTTGCTGGGTTTTAACTCTCTCCTAGTTCTTGAACTAAGAGTCTTCCTGTTTCCCATTCTGGCTCAGGTAGAGACCTGTTTCATGAAAGCCTTATTATGTCTCTCCATTCTGTAGGACCCAGCCCTGGCCTGGAGTGGGGTGTGTGGGCCTGTCCCCATGGCCCTGTGGGAAGCTGTCCAGGAAGAATGGTCACAACCATTCCTATTGGGGATCAGTTGGGGCAGATGGTCAGGTGGGCCTGGCAGCACGTGGAGCCTGAGATCAAATTCTGAACCATTACCTCTTACTGAACAGCCACTTCTCACCCTTTCCTTCCTCCAGGGCCCCTGGGCCTCAGGACTTTCCCCTCACTGTGCTCTGTCTATTAAGGGAGCAAATCCAGTCTCTCCCCGGTGGAGCATGGAGGTCTCTTCTCTTGAATCTATTTGGACCTTCTCTTGACAGGGGTCTCTTGGAGTCAGGAAAGAGGGTTTTGTAGGAAAATTGAACAGTCATCCCCTGAGCCAGGCCTGGGCACAGTTCTGAGATGTGGCACAGAGGGGCCCTGTCAGGAGAGAGATTCTGGGTTGCAGTGGGGAACAGACATGAGGCATGGGAGGTCAGGGAAGGTTTCCCCCTGCCTGTCTCTGGGTTCTCTGGTGGGTAGGGCCTAACTGAACTCCAGCTCAGGTCTGTAGAAGGTGAGATGTCATGGTGTCCACTTGAAGAGGTGACTTGCTGAGTGCTACGACTGGCATAGCATACCTGGGATTCTTACTGACCTGAGCCTCCAGCGGCCCTGGGGTGAGTGAGTGGGCCAAGGAAATTGGCCCCTGTGAGCAGTCTTAGGATGAAGGGACAAGTCTTGCTCTTTGTCATTTTCTCCACTCAGCCTATAGATTTGTTCTAGAAATGGTCAGAGGATGTTTGCACAGGCAGGGGCCTGAGAGAATATCTTGTCCAAACTCTCCATTTTGCAGAGTTGAAACAGAGATGGACAGTCGCGTCTCATTAGTGGCAGAAACAAGACAAGAGCCCCAGGGCTCCAGCATAGCTGTAAGAACAGTCGTGTGTGCTGGTCCTGTTAGCATGAGAACTGCCTAAGACCATGAGCTTGGCTTCCCCTCCTGGGGCCGGGGACTATCTGCTAGCTTGCAGTCTCAGTAGAAGGCACAGAGATCCCCTTGTTTCTGTTCATTAGATAGAAATATCAGTTGTTTTTATTCTGGCCCTGCCTTAGCTGGTCCCTGGTCCTTTTTAACCTCTAGCTCTGAAGAGGTTTGGGATGACATTCAGGTCTGTGCCACCCTGGGCCTTGTCCCCTATAGTCAGCAGGGAGTTTACTTGGAGGCTCGTGGAGCTTCTAGGGAAAAGGGGCCTCTATCCAGACCAGGTGTGGTCATTGTTTCCCTGCCAGGTCTCTGTCTGGGGTCACTTGTGAATCTGTGTTTGCAGAGCTTCTTTGGAGCAAAAGCAGGAAAATCTTGAGTTGGAGACCAGCTGGCAAAGGTAACATCAAGACCCTGCCTCACCAAGCACCAGTGGCTCACGCCTGTAATCCTAGCTACTCAGGAGGCAGAGATCAGGAGGATCGCGGTTTGAAGCCAGCCCAGGCAAATAGTTCATGAGACCTTATCTCAAAAAAAAAAAAAAATCACAAAAAAGGGCTTGTGGAGTGTCTCAAGGTGAAGGCCCTGAGTTCAAGCTCCAGCACCAAAAATAAATAAATAAATGAAAGACCTTGCCTCAAAAGTAAAACGAAAATAAAAAAGGCTGTGGAGCATGGCTCAAATGATAGAGTGCAAGGCCTTGGGTTCGATCCCTAGCACTACAAAAAAAAAAAAAAAAACCCAAATTTAGGAAATAACAAGATAGAAAAATAAGTAAATCAAGAATAAGACAGGAACTGGGAGTGTAGCTCTGTGATAGAGTGCTTGCCTAGCATGCAAAAGGCTCTGGGTGTGATCCTCAGCACCAAAATAAAATAAAATAAAAACATATAAAAAATAAAAATATTAGCATCCCAGGGGAGCATGCCTGGAACTTGGGTTTGGGAATAGAGTGGGGAAGGGAAAGAGGTTCCCAAAGTCAAGTTGGGAGCCTGAGATAATAGGAGGTTGGAGGCCTGGTTTACAGTGGGCTGTGTTCCAGAAGTTTCTGAGTCACTTGTTTGGGACCAATGTGACTTTTTAAAAGGTGCCTAGGTTCCCAGGCCCCCTCACCAAGTTTTAGTTAACTCACAGTGTCCCTGCATTCGTCTCTGAATACCGTGGAAACTAAGCCAGGGCTGAGGGCAGCGGTGCTGTGGGGAGGGACACCTGGGACCTGTCTCTCCTGGGGTGTGAAGGGGAGCATCATTCTTCTGCCCTGCAGCTCCTCGGGCCTGTGTTGCTTCTAGATGGTCCTCCCTGGAGGATGAGAGGGGCAGGGCTGTGAGAGCCAGGTGGCCAGGTCCCCCCTCAGGCTAACTCCTAGGAACCTTTGCAGACTGTACCCTGTCCACCTTTCTTCTACCCCTGGGTTTCCCCTTTGCTCTTTCTTCCCCTCATCTGTAGGCTGTGACAGGACCTCCCTCCTGGGTCATGGGGGTTGAGCTCAGTTCACACTGAACCCCTTGGGTTCTGGGAACTTGTGAGTTTGTGGCTTTGTTGCTAGCAGAAACACTGAGGATCTTTTCCAGTGTCAAACGTCTTCCTATATGGCCCTCCTGTCCCCAAATCCCCCTGTCCTCGGCTTTATGGCAAAGGCAGGAGGTACATTTGGGGCTCATGGCAGCCTGACAGCCTGCTTTGGGCTCTTCTCAGGAGGCCAGCAGGTGCGTTCCAATGGGACCAGCAGGTGGAGGCAGTGAGGTTGGGACTGGGTGGGACTGGAGCTTCACCCATTAATGAATGAGTGAGTGTTGCCCAGCAAAGAGGACAATCTTGCAGCCTGCAGGATCTGGGACAGAGTGTCAGCCATGGGACAGCCAGGCTGTGGTGGGGAGCTGGCCAGGGGTTGTGTGAGGGGAGGGCAGATGAGTCAGGAGGAGTTGGGTTTTCCCAGGTTTCTCCTCTCATAAGTGTCCTGGCATCAGCACCTCTGTCTGCAGTTTGCCCTTTCCTGCCCCCTGCTGCCCTGGGATGAGGTGAGGAAGCAGCAGCTGCTGATGAGGGGGGATGTAGAGGAAAAGGGGGGGCTGACAAATGCAACCATCATGGCAGGGAGGATGCTTTGGCCAGTGGCTGCCTCTGAAACAGCTAACATGCACCTGTTAGCTTCTGACAGTGCCATGAAGGAATACGCCTGGCAAATTTGGGGCTAGAAACCCCTCCAGAGAGTTTGTAGACTAATTTCATAGCACAAAGGCTATTTGGGAGCAAACTCTTATGGGATGAATAACTTTTATTCATAAAGTGTAATAGGATGAAGGTAATACCTTTCACACCTACAAATTGCAGAGCAAGTCACTCACCCCGTGCAGGAACATTGAGCTCTGGAGGACTGGGAGACCTGAAGCAGGGAGGGTGTGAGAAGGGACAAGGCTCCCAAAGACAGCCCTGTCTGATGTACTGGAGTTAAGTGTTGTCTGCGCCTCATTCCTGATTGACTGGCTCTGTTTCACAGATAAGGAAACTGAGGTTTAATCAGGTTGAGGGGAGGCAGAGGGGCCAGATAGCTGGAGAGTGATCACTGGGGAGTGAGAAGGTAGGATGGGGACTTCCCTGTCAACTCCTCTTTCTCTGGAATCCATGTCTTTGCTAAGCAATGAAGAAGAGATGGGGGGTCCTGAAGTATAATAGGAAGCATTCCCTCTTCTTCTGGAAATCGGACGCAGAGGGGAAAAGCCTGTGCTCAAATGTTCCAGTGAGACCATGGCCAGGACTGTGAGAAATGCCGAGGGACAGGGCATCGGAGCCCGGGTGGGGAGGGCAGGAAGGCAGCAGGCCCTTGGCAGCCAGGAAGCTGTCTATGGGAGTGGTGCAGCAGACAGCTGGAGAGGAGGCCAACTCAACCCAGTTCTTGGC